CACTTTTTTCATTGCAGCTAGCGTTGAAACGGGTGTTGCAGCTAGCTCTATCGAGTTTCATTTTAAATTTTCTACGCTCTTGATCTGTTATTTGTTACGGCCCTATGCAACGGGCGCTACAGCGGCCGTTGTAGCTAGTTTATGAGTATCGAAACGCGCCCGCTAACCCGCTTCAATATTTTTACATTTTTTTACAGCTAGTTGCAGCGGGCGCTACTAGCTTACTTTTCCATGCTTGGGAAGATTCAACAGAATTCTTGCCAGTTTCGTGGAAGATCTTTTATAAAAATTGAGTGGGATTCTTATATAAGAACCGATGACTAGGTGTGGCTAGAATTTTTTCCAGCACTGGATGGCAATATTAAACTTGGACCCAGTGGTTTCTAGTAAAACGACAAATTCCGCATCAGAACGAATCGTGCTTAAAAATACTTGGCTTTGCCAATTATTTGTTGTATAGACGTACACATATTCGCTTCTACTTTCATACATGTTTAAGTAAATAAAAGAAGAACAAAAAGCACATGTAACGATAAAAGGTGACCAAAAATATACAAGTCTGTTTTATCCTTTTCTTTGGCATATAACATTTGTACGAAACCGAGAACTGGTCTAATAAAAAACAACAAAATTTTTATCAAAAATAATCTAACTTTCCCAGTTCCAAAAGTAGAAGATCAGATGGTCTTGTATAGTGTGTGTCAACTTGCAGTGTGAAGCAATAGTCTGCTACAGAGGACATTATTTTTTCGTTTTCTATTGGCTTCAGTAAGTAAACTATGTTATTTGTTTCAGAGAAAGATGTTAAGATTGATAATTGTTATGTTTATTACGTGTTTATTCAATTTATTCTAAAACATGCATTATCATTTCCCTTCCTTTTCTTCATTATAAACACATTTCTAACACTATTGAGTTTTTTTATACACATCTGTTTGGCTTTCAAAAGCGCAAAGTCAGACCAGATTTTTCGATCAGCAATGATCTTCTGTTTGTGAAGGACAGAGAGTAAGTTATGTGTAAAATAGGATGAAAACACGGTCCTAAGCCCACTTTATTGTTTGGTAATTTTTCTACTTTATGGAACATACTCACGTTAAATCATACTCACTTTAATAAATAAAATGGACAAATCACTATGGAAAAGTGTAACGAAGGAACATTACCCGTTAACATTGTATCCGATGTTAATTTCCTTCAAGAAGTGTTCATAAAACAGTTTCGAATTATTTTGGCAGAAAATCTAATCTGTTAACAAAAACAACTAAAGGAAAACGTACAACTTTGGTTGTAGTGCTGATGGTACAATATAGAAATACGGCAATATAGAAACGTACAGTATTAAATCCAAAAATTTCACGATTAAAACTAAAATAAATGATACCATTAATTCATAATTGTATTAATCAATTGGTTAAGAAGTTACTAAATGTATGTGATGAAGATGATTCTAATATTTATGAATTATATAAGCGAATGATAATGGATGTTACATGTAAGTGAACAATATGGAAAACGTTTACCGATCTATTGCTTCTATAATCAAGTAAGAAAACTAGAAAATGGCCAAAGTGTCACCTACGCCCAACTCTATTGTGAAAGTTTTATTTTACCATTTAAAGTAGAAGTTAAATTCAGATAGATTTACTGATCATGTTAAATACACTTACCGATAAGTGACCTTACCGACAACTTAAAACGACGAAGTCGCTTGGAAGATGATGCTACGTTATAGCTGGAGATTTTCTACTGCGCTAAATTCGAAAATGAACAGTTGGGCTAAAGTGCATGCAACTGATTCGAATTTGCAGCATTCTTTTGTTTTCTTTTCATTTATACCGTCCTCCCTCCGCCCTATAATAGAAGACCACCTGGTGTTTTATTTTGTAGGACAAGTCGAATTGTAAAGGTGATCTACTATTGCGGTCAAACGCCTGCTAGTAGACCAAATGTAACCTCTTTCTTCCTCCTCATATGCTTGAATTCTATCCCCTATTATAAGAGCATTTTGACGAAAGTCTTTTCCGTGTTGATATTTTCCGATTGTTTTCGACGGACATAATAGAAAACGGTGATCTTCTACTCTGAGGAAGGGCTTAGAAGACCATGTTCTTCTATTTAGTTTTCAAGTACTACGACCGGTATTGGTCTTCTAGTAGAAGATGATTTTCTATCATGAGGGGAGAAGGCTACATGGTTGGATAGAGAACATCGAGATCAGTAATCTTTCTAGCCATTGTTTTGTTTACTTTGTGTAGCAGGAAGTTCAAACATATTTGAAGCATCGAAAAAGCATCCTCGTATTTTGAAAAAAAGTAGACAAGTAGTACGTGGGGAGTTGGATACGGATTTACTAGACAAAAAAAGCTTGTCATCGTTGCTTCTACGAAGCAAAAATGTGAAAACTTTCTATTGAACTGCTGGACTATAACATAGAAGACGTATAAATAGAAGGAAGTTAAATAAGAATAGTAGCGTGCAAGAGAAGCCAAAAGTTCTAGAATTTGTCGAGTTATTCAACAATATAACATTGAACAGTTTTTCAAACTCGTTTAATAGATCTCCCGACTTATACAAAAGACGGTTCACCGGCACACGTATTTTTAAGGGCGCTCGGTCAGTTTATCCGACTGAAGCTTGAAACTTTTGCCATAGACGCTACTTATTATAAGAAACATTTTCTCTATTAGGAACTTTTTTCTACGTGCTTTGATGGTGCGCAGCTAATTGATGAATGATGGTGATTTTTACACTTATTCACCGCCCAATTTCTCAATGTTAATAAAACATTAAATCAACACCAAATAGTGTCTTCAATATATATTTACAAATATATACTGAATAAATATTTATTTGCAATGTCATTCAATAATCAAAATTATTCCCCGAAATGCACATAATATAATTTTCAAGAAACGAGGGTCATAGTCGAGTAATATGGGATATTCTTTTAAATTGAATATGTTCGCTAAACAAAATAAAATTTATATGGCAAATATTAAAAAAACATAAATGAAATTCAAGTATTATGAAAATACATGTGCGTATTAGAATAAGTAAACCTTGGTACTGGAGAAACTGGTAAGTAGAATAAACTTTCTGGGACCTTCAGCAAAGCTACAGTCATTTTTTTTTAAACTGACTATTAGATTTTAATTTATTTTTAGCTGTCTCAATATTGTTTTCATACTCAATAATGTCAGGATGACCTGGCCTCAAAGTACCTAGCCCAATTTGGTATGCAGTTTCAAAATTTTGCAGTGCTGATGTGGTATCCCCGTTTTTTAAATAAACAAGGCCAATATTATTGTAATTTTTAGCAAAATCTGGATGACTTGTTGGCATTGATTGTATGCAGACAGTAAGAGCCTTTTGATAGTAGTTTAATGATTCTCTCAGATCATCGTTTTCTTTAAGAGCTGCACCGATATTGCTATAAGTGGTTGCCATAGATATGTGATCAGAAGGTAAAAAAGTTAATTTCATATTAAGTGCTTTTTTATGATGTTTGAGAGCCTCCTCATAATTACCGCTCATGTAAGAGATCTGACCCAATTGGTTATAAATTGACGCTAATAATGGATTGTCTGACTTATACGAATGAGATAAAATTTGATACGCCATCTCCAAACTCGTTTTGGCCATATCGAGGTCTCCATGACTGAGATAAGCCGCACTCATATTACTGTACGTCGTTCCGATCTGTGGATGGAATTCTTGACGTGTTCTCGCGTAATTTTGAAGTGCTAAACTATAATAGTCTACAGCTTTTATGTAATCGCATTTATCCTTATACAGTAATCCTAGGTTATTATAAATGGTACCAATGTCACCATGATTCGCCGGTAGTTGTTTGAGAAGCATCCAATAAAATCGTTCAGCTTTATCAAAATCGCCTAACCGATAGAGAAACCATCCTAATGTTAAAAGATTTGGTGAATTACCAATTTCTTTTGTCAAATGTGCTGTTAGTTTTTCGGTACGTTTATCATATTCGTCACTCGAAATCAGTTTTACATTCCAAATGTTATTTTCGATTAGTTCAACAGCTTCTACCTGAAATACTGTCCCAATTGAAAATAAAACTTCTTTTTCATCGTCAAACTTAGACAGATGGTCAATATTACAAAATGGTTTTGTTTTGATGTTCATGTTAACTTGTATTTCAAACAGTACCGACTCTAATTTTGAATTATCTATAGATGATCTATCAAGTACAACGTACATCAAAGCAAGTTCTCGGTCAAGTGTTGTACTTAGAAACGTGTTCATTGATATTTGTCCACCGACACATTTTTTTAATCTTTCGAAATCAATTCTAGGCATCCCTTGTCCACGATAAACAGTTAAAAATGGTGGTATATCTGATCCTAACAATTCACGATACTGACCATGTAAATAGCATAATTGTTTGTGAAGATCAGCAATAAAAAATCGAAATTTAAAAATAGCCTCAATATTTTGAGTACGAAGTGCCTTGTTTAATAAACGATAAATAAAACAGTCAGATGTGTACCACCAAATGGCTTTCTCAGGTTCATATTTATTTTCAAAATCCTCAATTTTAGCTAGCTCAGGTGGATTATCTTTATAATATAATCGACATTCTTCTAACATTTCATGTTTAGCTAAATTTGTATGCGTAGCGGGCATGAGAAGTAAAATACGAATTAAAAAATAATACCACATGAATGTTGCATGGTCTTCACGTAAATCTTGTAGACAACGCTCACCATTCATTTCTGGTGAAAATATACTCATTGGTAACAATTGTTTTGAACATGATTCAATATTCTCTTGCAATTTTTTTAACAATGATTGTTTATCAATATAAATACCACTAACTTTTTCGCATTGTTTTGTCCATTTTTCTTGCTTCGCTTTATTACCACAAAAGACATAAATTGAATGTATTTGTGGAACATCATAAATTAATGGAACAACAATTTCACCCATGGTACCGGATACGATAAAAAATACTTTTTCGTTCTGAATTTTGGTCACATAATCAACACATTCATCAGCATTCGTAAACGTTTTTAAATAATTAATTCGTTGACGTAATTGAGTTTGTGTATCAAGACAATCTTTTGTTTTATCTATATTAGCATCCAACCAAACAACAGTAAAATCTTCTAAATTATTTTCCTCGCTCATGCATGTTGCCATGTTAAAGTTATGTGAAACGATTGCTTTTTTTACCAATAACAGACTGTTTTTAATTGTTTGTCGCGTCACTCATGATATAATGAAAGCACATGTCTTACCTGACGCTAACAGTAGCTTTTTATTCTTCTAAAAAATAATACGATAGTATAGTTTTTCGTTTCTTGTTGAATAAAGAGAGAGACGACTGTATTTCAATCCATTCCTTATTTAAATCATTTTTATGTGCGATTTATCTTTCGTAATAACCGAACAGAAAAAACTTTCTGCCTCATCATTCATAGACGCCACTATCTTTAATAAATGAGGATGAATAGTAAAACATTGGTCTGTCCTTAGGTCGATTAGGTGTTTTTGCAGGAAAGTTTGTTTTTTATTTTCTTCTTTCTTTCTTTCTTTCGTCCATTTTTTTGGGCAAAATGTCCATCACGTAATCTAGAGAACTATGAAAGCTAGAAAAGTTCTGAAAAAGGTAAGATACTCTCCCGACATTGGAGATTAATCAACGCACATTGTTCTCTCAAATAAAAGTCCATATTCGGTACCATAAGCGCCACAAGTGAAAAAAACATGTATTTTTGGACTTCGAAAACATTTCATATATTCAGTCGTTTTTGGAGTGAAATTTAATGTAAAAGAAAATGTGATTTTGTTAAGAGGAGAATTTAAGTACAAAAGAGAAAGATGAAAAAAAGATTTCTTAGAAAAAAAAGATTTGTTGATTTAGACTCAAAGGGATACTGAAGAAGAAATATCAATTCATTGCTAATTGAAATCAGTTAGAATAATAACAATAAGAAAACAGAAGAAACAACAATTTCTATTTCAGAAATGTATACTTTCTGGTTTTATGTACCTGTTACTAGAAGAAAGAAACGTCTCTCTATACTGAGACATTTTCCGACCACATTTATTGCGTATTGCATTTCTCTATACCTTCTTTTATTGTGACCTGGTTGGATAGACCGTTTGAGCTAAACAGGAAAATGTAATTTTGAAATATTCTAAAACGATTTTTCTGAGAAAAAATCTTAGAAAATGTGAAGTTCGTCAAAGGTTATGACATGATAAAGATCTTTTGTGCGCACAATATTTTGGTAGAGTCTATACATATTTCTTAAATTCACCAATTCAACCGCATATTCAAATAATCATTTTTTTTGTACAAGGTGGAAGCTTTATAAATATTATAGTGAAAATTGCCTCTATCTGAGTTTATTTCTCAGCACAACTAACTATAATGTGACTGTACAAATTCGAAAGGCAGTAGAAGCACTGGACCGTATCGAAAAAGAGAGAGCAAGAGTTCATAAAGGGTCTTGGGTTTATATGAAAAACAGAACACAAAAAACATCTTCAAAAATTACTACTGATAATATTAAGTCAACTGCACAACTTCAATCGTTATACAGAATATAGACACAGAACGGTGGATTTAGTTTTCCAGGTTCGGCAGAGCTAACGAGGGAACCTCCCGAGATGTCCATTTCCGATTCAAATGCTTTGTACATGGATCGATAGAGCTCAGTGAGGTAGTAAATACCCTAAAAGGATTCGGGCCCAGGACTCTTGAAGACCCGGTTTTCTAGAAAACCAGTTTTTCAGAAAATCTAAAGAATAACCAAAACCTTTTCTTAATATGGCATGATTGTGGTCTGCAAATTTCTGATTAAAACGAGACATCTCTCAGTTCTACACGATCTTTCTTTGCAGCGTTATAGAATTTACAAGAATATAATAGAATATAAATATTCATTGTCAGCTCAAAGCTACAGAAAAAAGAAGAAATAAATTTAGGGCTTTTCTTGTAAATTTAATAACTTTGCAAAGAAAGTAAGAGCTGCGAGACGTCTCATTTTAATCAGAAATTTTCAGGCCACAATCATGCCTCATTAAGAAAAGATTTTGGTTATATTTTAGATTTTCTGAAAAACTGGTTTTCCAGAAAACCGAGTCTTCAAGAGTCCTGGGCCCGAATCCTATTAGGGTATTTACTACCTCACTGAGGTCTATCGATCCATGTACAAAGCATTTGAATCGGAAGCGAGCATCTCGGGAGATTCCCTCGTAAGTTTATGTGTTCGAATTTGTAATCGTACAAAACTGAGTTTGTGCTTGTCGATAGTTTTAGTTTAGAATACTATAATGGAATAGTTTTTCGCTTTTATTCTGACAGAATACAGCTTATATATCAAGGGTTCAGGAAAAATGTACAGTGAAAGCTACAGCTACAGAATCAGTGGAATAAGACAAGAGGTCATAAACTCACGAAAAGAGATGTGTAGAAGATGAAACATATGAAAGAATAATAAATAAAACTCGGCTTGACAACGTCTAACAAGACATACGACTTCATGATACGGCCATAGCGATGCCGCGATGCCCTCCTGAAAAAGATTATTTGACATTTCAAAGCAAGTCATGTCATATTTATCAACTCATCGTTTTAGGAGGGCATCATGACACCGCTAAGGTTCAGAAACAGCAGAATGCATCATTTTATACAGTAATTATTTCTGAACACAACTACTTCTCAATATTATCACAGCATGTACCCGGAAACCCCAATAGAGTTATTACCAATGACTCGGGCAAATGAATTGCCCAGCTCTGTAAAAGACTATACCAAAGCATACAAAACAAGGTGAGATTTCAAAGAGTTTTGTTCATAAGGCCAATTACTTTGGTTTCTATCGAAAGTTATTCAAAAACTGATCAAGATCATTTTATGATAAATATTGACACAAAATGAGATATTGTCTAACGATTGTGACGATTTGTTTTCTTTTCACGTTGCATCAGTCTTGGCACAATAAAAATAATGTTAAGCGATCCATACACTTAGATCGTTTCATAAGAATTTGACAGTAAAATTATCATTGAATCTTGTGTATTATTGTTTAACCACTGTTCTAAATCACCTGTGCATCTAAATTACAATAATAAGCAATTTAAGCAAACAATAAATATTTTAGTTGTTTTAATATAAGCAATAAATCACTTCGTTTTGTTGTACAAGGGTGAATCAATTTGTAAAACCTAAATGTTCAAAATACTTATCTATATCAATTGAAATTTTCAAATGAATTACTAATAGGATTATTTCTTGAATTCGCTAAGTCAGCCGCATATCCAAATAATCATGACAGCTTGTCATTTTAGTTTAAATGGTTCAAAATTTGTCGAAGAGTTGAGTGTTAATTTCTGGAGCGGTAGTACAAATGATTGTGGCTTCAGGCATTTAATAATATGCTGATCAAACCGTACAAGCTTTATCTTGGAACTGACTTCAGTTGTTTAATATTATGATTGTAATTTATGCGTCTTATTATGCCATCTATCATTTTTATTTGTCACACGATCATTTCTGATAATGTATAATGAACGCAAATGACCAGTGTTTGAAATACTTATGTCTTACACTCGTTATATAAAGGACGGCAGCACAATAGAGAGAATATCGGTCCACTCGGACTTTTTCATTTCCAGTGACTGAATTTATTACAGAAGTCTCGTTTCTATTATTCTCTGTCGTTCCCCAGCTAAAAAAGTGAGAATAAAGGTGAAAAAAATTGTTTTTCCACCATCATCATCTTGTTACCTCAGCCAACCAGTATTTTAATTATTTCTGTCGGCTAAAACAGTAGATAAGATTCATTCGGCCACTGCTAGAGAGAATATGAAAAACTGAATTAAAAGACATCCAAATTATATCTTCGCTGGCATTTGTTAAAAAATGGTAGATCAAACTTTTATATGGTCACATACTTAATAGGATACAGATTCACAAAATGTTAATTATTTCGTGTACTTGAAAGCCAAGTCGCATCTCCGTTTATATATATTGCGATAGAGCATTAAATTCTCTACAAAATGGCTATATTTTAATCAGCAGGTTCAGCCTCTGTATTTTAAGGCGTGGTATTAATTTTACTGGGATTTCCCAGACTGGTATTAGGTGATGTTGAACATTTAAGAGTGCCTTCGAAAAATCCTGTCATGCCCGAACCGTAATACATAGAGCTCTCGGGGCTTGCGTGAGCATGTAGTATAGATGCCAACGTATGTTCTGCATACTTTAAAACTATAGGTTGCTATGACAATCCAGAAAACGGCAGCTTGTCTACCAAAGATCCATCAAATACACCATCTCCGGGCAGAATTTTGGACTTTATTTTTTATGGAATAAGAATTGTACGCGCTAAATACCAAGATCAAGCGAATATCGACAAAGATGGTAATATAATAATTAGTATTTCAATACAATTTAACAATAAACTTGACAGTTTGAATATATCTCTAATATGTGTGCAAACACCTAATCATCAATTTATTAAACCACAATTTATAATTGATATTAATTATGAGCAAGAATTTATTGAATCAAATGGAAAATATTGTGCTGAATAACATTTGAGAAATGTTGAACAAAAAGATGATGATCTTACGAGTTAGTATTATATACATATTACCAGATATAGCTAAACAACCTATATGTGGTTTAGAACGTGCTTCTGATAACCTCGATCAAGTTTATTCTGCTATTAATCCTTGACAGCTATCCGGTTGGATCCACACAGGAACGTATGGGAGAAGTTCAAGCTTATCATGATTTGATTGAAGGTTTTCATGCATGGATCAATGATCTACATCATGCTGCTACTAGGCGTGGATACGTTGATACTCATGCAGGGTTTGTAACATATATTATTTAGAAAACATTTGTAAGAAAGGTATTATAATTAGGTATGCACCAGTTTATAACTGGTGTTGGAGCATCCGGGAAAATTTCTATATATCGGTTATCAAGATTCGCTCATAGCTGCGGAATATCTTATTTTAATAGAACTTTGCCTGGTAGAATAGAACTTGGACTGATGAACAACAATCACAGTAACAGTGATTTATCGTTGTTGCCTCTACTAATTTCCACTCTCCTGTGAATACAATTTTCGATCTTTAGATTTCCTTTTTTTAAAATTTGGGACTTGTAATTTTTTGTT